ATATTGTTGATGTGATTTTATTAAAATGACAATTTCTATTAAATGAACACGTTTTGTTATTGCCATGCAATGTTGTACTTTGGAATACATTGTAAAACATAAAACATAAATAAGTTAATGGTTGCATTTTTTGAAATTGAAAGTGATGATTGACAAGAAATCAAGGTAGTTAACTAAGAAATGTATAAATATAAATAGAAATTCATTTCTTATCATAATTTACTCGTACAATTTTAAATTGAAAAAATTTGCATTACGAAAAAAGAAAACGATTGAGTTCATTAACCCATTGCCGACCATGCCAGTTGATCAGAGTTTGGGTTTAATTGAAAATTAAAAGGAAATCAAATCATAAGTATTTATGTGGGCCGGAAAAGCGTTTTACGAAAAAAAATTTTTAAATTTGTATTGATTTGGAGAGCATATTTAAATTTAAATTGTTAAATTCTGTGTAGGAGAACGACTGATATTTTAAGGTACGCCGACGGAGTATGAAATTTTATTTAAAAAAAAAAAAGTTGATTGGTGAGTGACATTTGTTTAAAGTAAATCAAGAGAACCAATTAATTATTTTAAATTCACTTATAAATTAAAATAACAAATTCACCACATTCACATTTCTACCTTCAACTTTTCAAACAAAAATTTAATTAAATTTTTTATTTGCTAATATTTGGAATAAAACAAAAATTGGTATTATAAACTTTATTGAACTTTTTTATCAGTTCCTCCTCTTTCCCCCCTTCCTTTCTCTCTTCCGCAATCACCACCTAAATGGTTGATCTTTTATTTTTTATTTGTTTTTTTAATTATATTTCACTTTTTTGTTATTTTTTACAAAAGGAAAGTAAAATATGTAGATTAAAGGAAGATTAAAATAAAAAAAAAAATAAATATTAAGGCTTTGCCGTCTTTTAGATAACAAAAAAAAAATTTATATTTATAAAAATACTTGAGAAAAGTTTAACAAATCCGATTATAAATCAAAATTTTTAGTATTAATTTAGTTAAAAATAATTGATAAATCAAAATTCTTACCGGTTTTTTATACAATTTAATATTGGGCGTCTACTAAAAGGTAAAACTTTGGGACGTCAAATTTATACATTCTACTCGGTAAGCATTTTGGCAAAATTATTTTCTGAACTTAACCTCAATTTTTTGGTATAATCATTTTTTTTCATATACTTATCCTTTTCTATCTACCGGGAAAAAAATAACGTAACTGCAGAGATTGATGTTTGATTGTAAAGTCTTATTTTTCGTAGACACCCTTTTTCTAAGCAATTAATTTTGAAATTTTTAATATAAAATCAAATTTTAATTGTGCAATACTAATGACATAAAATGTGCTATTCAGTGAAATAATAATTAAGTAATGGAAAATTTCTCTGATCTCTTTGTCTGTTTTCTCAAGTTCAACGATCTTATACTTTGTAAGAAAACAAACCAAAGCAACACACAAGGTGCAAAAAAAAAACACCATAATCAAAAAATTTACAGACCAAAAACAATCAAAAAAAAAACATCAGCACCTTGATATTTTCATCTTCTGATCTCCTTGAATATGCGATCTAATATTCTGATAACCGGTATTTACTAGATCTTAAAATAAAATCTTATGAAAAATATTTACTAATTAAATAATTTACAAATTAATTTTTAACTGAAATTTCATCATTTTTGTTTTCAATTTTAATATTTTTTTTTTATTTAATATTTCAAAAATCAAATCTAATAAATTATAAAATTGTATGTAGGCTCATATAGGATTTACTTAATATTTGTAATTTTCCAGTTACCACTTGATTTTTATTAAAATTATTAATTTTATTACTTATTTATTTATTTAAGAAAAATAAACCAAAAAAAAACCGGCATTTAAGTCAGGTTTTTGTTTTCTTTTCTCATTTTTTGCCTTCTTTATTCAGTTTTATTATGTTTGTGTGTATGTACTACTTTTTTTAAATATTTTCATAAAAGTTACCTAAACATTAATTCAATGGCGGTTGTTGACCTCATCCACATGTTAAAAAATGAGTAAGTTTATGTAAGCTACACATACATCGCTATATGTACATATATATATAAAAAATCAATTTTTAAAATTTTAGTGCCCCAACATCACGACCATAACCCATGTATGTAAGTAATAATGTTTGCGCTTTATAAGAGTATGGAAAATTTTTTCATAAATTATTTTATTTTTATATATAAGCTTAGAAATTTAGGTCAACATTTAATCTCGAAAAAAAATATTTTTTTTTTCTTCTTTACTTATTACTTGGTAACTTATTGGTTTTAAAACTATGGAAGTTTTCCAATTTTTTTAATTTACTTTTTTTTATTTAAGATGATTATTAATTGTACACTTTAAATGAGATTAGGTATGAGTATTGTAGAAATTTATAATAGAAATTTTATTATACTAATGTATATTCATGCATATTTAATGTGTTATACAGAAAATCGACAGTACTATTGAGTCAGAGTGATAGAATTCCTCCAGATGAAATACCAGAGAATTAGAGTTATGCAACGCAACATTCTCAGTGATCAGGTCATTCCTACCGTAATCAGTACCATGATACCAAACATTATACAACCCAACTGACCAAACTGTAAAATTTGGAAATGTTGGGCTTCCATAAATTCCAATGAAATCTTTTTTATTTGTTTAATCAAACGAATAAGTTAATTTGTAAGTACAAAATTTCAATTTTATTGTTTTTTTTATTTAAACATTATTACATTTGTTGTTTATTATTTATTTAATAAAATGATTGAATAGAAAATGTAGTATTTATTTGTACAAACACATACACACATAATAATTTTGTTTATTAATAATAAATAAACATTTACATTTCCTCATCAGAATTTCCACACTCTAAAACGTTTCAGTTGATATGGTAAAATTCAGAAATTTTTGTAATTTCTAATACAAAATCAATTCCAAAACCAATTTTGAAATTTTTGTCAGTAATTTTGAATAAAAATTTCATTTTAAGTGATTGGGTATAAGAAATTACAATAGATTACCTCTTTGAAATTTAGTAAGAGTTCATGAAAAAGAAAAAAATTTTATATTGTTTTTTATACTGCATATTTTTCATATAGTTATATAGTTACATTAAAACAAAGATTAACAACCTTAAGTCGTATTCACCTTCCTAAACTAGACGAAAGCAACTGTAAACTTTTCTCATCCGCAAAAATTTTTAAGCTTTTATATTAGGATTTAACAGATTATTTTTATGTGAATAGATATGTACCTGAATTTGTATTCTATACAGACACTGGACGCTTAGCGTAACAATATATCTTTTTTCAAATTGCCGCAAGTCGTGACACCAACTTTTGATTTAATTCAGTATCAATACTGGAATTGAAAAATTCTTGATTTTGATTTATTGAAAACTAAAACAATATTATTTGGAAATAGATAGACACTTGTTATATAGATCTTGTTGGAAAATTAACGTTTTCTTTACCGAATTCCAGTGAACTTAAGCTGGTACCAATTACAAATTTTTCAAATATTTAAGTATGCAGTTGACTAACTAAACAGAACTATTTAATTAGAAATTTCGCAAATATTTAACGTATTTCGCTTAACAGATATAGAAAACCTACATACAACAAATTCATAATCAGTTATCAACCTACATATTTATCTACAAACGTATAACAAAATTTACAAAAAACTTATGTAAAAATTTGAAAAAAAAAAACAGAATTTGTGAGGTCACAGAAATTCGATATTAGTTATCTATAGATTGTTTTGCACTTTTATAAGGATTTATTTTCAATTTTTTGTTATGACACAAAAAACACTAACTTCGGATACTTAAAGTGATTACGTTGACAATAACTTTAACGACTTTGAATTGACCTAAAGAACAAAACAAAACTTAGCATTTTTATTTATTAAAATAAAATACAAAAATCTAATATTTTTATACTATAAAAATATAAAATATAAAAATTGATATAGACAAAAATATAGGTACATTTATATCCACCTATATAGGTAAGCAGATAGGTAGGCAGGTATGTAATATTCTCAAATAATATAGAATATTCAAATATTTAACAAGAAAGAAAAAACAAATATCATAAAACAAAAATAAAACTTGAGGGAATCGTTAATTTTTCTTTTTCGAATAATTTCTAAAATAAATTATTTTCATATTGTGTATTGTGTATTAAGTATAATAAAAATTTAAAGAACAAGCGCATACACATAATTTACGTAGTTTTATTTTTTAATAAAAATATAACCACATGGTAATCTTAGATTTTTTGAATTATTTATTTTTATTTCAGTATATCCACATAAAATTCGAATATTTATGCTGGCTATGCCTGATATGAAATAGGCATTTTCATTTAGTAAAAAATATCTAGTAATGTTTCAAACATAGAGCCTGTTTTTAGGATATACGATCAATTGAGTATACCGAATTTCAACATAGATGCTTAATATTATTAACACGGCAATAAAAAGAGGTTCTTAAGTAAAAGTATCTCTAAAACTAAAATTATGTGCCTATCCACATTATATGTTGGTATAGTTAATTCCAGCATTAGGTCCTCTTGGTGGTTAATTTTCGTTAGGACCATATTAAAATAGATTCTCCTAACTAAAAGTACTTTTAGAACTAAAAATTATGTAGGTATTTACTTTGAATTCGTCATTTTTCTACAAAATTTCTACAATTATGTACAAATTACAAATGGAAACATATTATGTAGATATATTCAATGAAAAGAATGTCACATAAGGTAGAAATGGTGGTCTACGATTTTCAGAAATACATAATAGGTGTACATTTTTCTGTTTATTAAAAGGAATATTTTTATTAACACATCCATTATTTTCTTAATTTCACCTAAAAATTGAAAATTCTTAATTTCAGAATATTAAAAAATGAAAATAAAATTTATATGTAAAAATTATGAAGTAGTTTAATATTTAAATTTCTAGACATACTTACAATACAATTTATATGTAAAAAAATATTTTCCAAAAACCCAAAGTACAAAAGAATTTCAGCTTTTTCTTGAAATTTAAAAAAATTATTTTTGCTTTTTTTTTCCAAGTTTTTTGAAAATTTTGGCTAAGAAGTTTTTCTTATTTCTTCCAGAATCAATTAAATGAAATTTGTAGCTATAATTCTGATTTCCTTTCCTGTTTTTAATATGAGGTTAGGTTTTCTCAAAACGCTAACGAAAATAATTTCTGGATAAAATCATAAAAAAAAAAATCACAAACAAAAAAAAACTTATTGTTGTTTGTTCACAGACGGCTGGACGAAATTTATTATTGTATTTTTTATTTTTATATTTGTTTCTTTTGTGAAAAACAAAATCAAAAATTAATTTTATAATTTAAAATTTCAAATAAATTATAAAAGATATTATTATTCTTTTTTTGCTATTACTTAATTTTAGAACGTGTAAAATTATAAAAGAAAATCAAAAAAAAAAAAGAAAAAAAATTGTGTTAAAGTTTTTTAAATGAAAATTTTCTTTTGTCACAAGACATTTTTTATTTGAAAAAGATTCAATGTCTGATGAAACATAATCATTCGAGGATTTTTAAAGAATTTTTTAATGTTTTTTTTATATTTTTTGTTTTAATCACTAATTAATTAATTTACAAAACTTGTCCTGTTTAAATTGCTCTTTGGTTTTTAATGTTTTTACAACAACACAAAATCACAAAGTCATAGATTTTATCATGTTTTTTTTTCTGTATTTCTTCCAGATTTTTCAATTTTACATTCTCTGATTTCTTTAATTAAAAAATCTATTTTTTTAGGAAATTTTGAAATAAAACACGTTTTATTTCTGTTGTATACACAATCAATAGAATAAAATTATTATTTTGTTCTTTTTTTCTCTTCTTCCTATCACTCAACACTTTTTTATAAACACAATTTGCACGTAAAGCATTTAGAGAATATTCTAAAATGACGGCACGCGAGATTTATAGAAACTGAACTGTTTTAAATTTTAATTTCTACTTTGTATTTTTGTTAAAACGGAAAGCTTTTTCAATTTTTCGCTGTAAATTGAAATTAGTTAGACAAGGAAAGAGAACCAAATGTGGTGTTGCGAAAGAAAAACAAAGAAAACATGATTACGTACTAAAATTGAAATGTCAAAATTGTTTTGTTGGTAATACAAACTGTTCTCAATTTTATTGAATCTAAATTGAAAATAATATTGAATTGAATGTTTTTGAAAGGAGTTTTGTTTCATTATGATGATGTTTGGTTTAATTTTTTTACCTAAATTCACTGATTTTGCAATTATGAACGAACTTTAATTACTATTTTAATTTTATTAATAGAAATATAATTGATGAACCATAAAAAATTTTGAAAAAGAATACGGTACAAGTGAAAAGAAAAATTGCTGTTTTGAAAAAAATGGTTTTGTAGCATCCCTGTTATAAGTATGTATACTTAGGTGTATTAACATGTTGATCAACTTGGTTCAGTTGGAAAAATTAAAAGATTTTTGTATATTTATCCTTTATATTTATTTATCAAATAAGGGTAAAAATGGAACCGTGAAAAACAAAAAAAGGCGTACGATCTCCGTTCTTAACATAGAATAGCAGAACGGCAAAATTGTTCAGTATTTTGCATATAATATCAATACACACATAAAAACATTGTGTCAAAACAAAAATAACCAGCGATAAAATAGAATTTTAGCTCATTTTACCGTTATTGCTTGCATTCGTGGAGGTAATTTTGATTCATTGTGGCCGGACTACTTAGATCTATATATACATATATATGCATTTTGTATGAATTTTGACATTTCGCAGCGGAAAGTCGCCTTTTCTCTGTTTTTAACTTGAATCGGTTGTTGCTTATTCTTGTTATACAGGAGTGGTATTCTAAAAAGAGATCTTAGTGATATGAAATGTTACTATAATGGAATACAAAGAGGTGAGCAAATCATATCACTTATTATTCGAACCCTAACAACACAGTGATCACGAAATATTTAACAAAAACGAGACAATAAAACTTTTAAATGTCAAAAATTTAGTAAATTTAGTAATACGCACTTACATTATTTAAAATTTTACAATTTTTTAAAATCAAAAACTTTTTTTTTCAAAAATATTAAGTTTTCTTTAAATATTTCTTTTTCACATAAAAGTGTATCAGAATCGCATACTTAACGTTTAGGTGTGCGAAATTAAATTTGACTGGCAAGGAATAAAATTATGGATTAACTTAAAATCAGTACGAAAATTCTCATGGGAAATCGATCAAGTTCCATTTAGATTAAGATGAGCTGATTTAAGATTTTGAAATTCGAAACAAAACTCTAGTAAAATTATTTTTTGTAACCGGTTGAAGTTTGCGATATTAAGTCTGTTAATAATTAATTATTAAAGTAAATAAACGTTATGTTTGAAAAGATTAATTAACATTATTATTTTTAAGGTTCAATGATTCATTTAAAAAAGGGGGAAGCAGCGTCAGTTTAAAAATGCAACCATCAAACTGCAAACAAAATATGGAAAAATATTACAACATACACAACAACTATTTCATGATTATTTGATATTGTATTTTATGCATCTTTTTATTATTTTTTGTCTTATATAATTTATGAATATATATATATATATAGTTAAGTCGAATCGCATACAGTTCGTCCGGGTGCGGCGAAAAATGCCGGAGAGGCATTTTTCCAATGCAAATTGTACATTTTTGTGCATTTTGGTTGTGCCGCACCCGGACGAACTGTATGCGACGCTGAGTCGTATGTACATGTATATGCATACATTATTTAGATTTTAACAAAAAAAGTTATTAAAGGATTTACAGCTGGAATTAAAATATTTTTTTAAAAAATTTACATACTTGAAATTCAATATGTAAAATAGTTTTGCTTGTAAAAATTAATTTTCATAATATTTTGTTTTAAATTAAATTCCATTTTATAATATAAAACTTTAAAAAAAAATCACTATTGTATAACAACGGTAGGAGCACATTGTTTTTTTTTTCGAAAATTTTTCTACTTAAATGATTTAAAGAAGTTTCTATATAAATAATTTCTCATCTTTGTATGTTTTAAAAATTCATGTCTATTAAAAGTTATTAAAATTCACTAATAATAAAATATTGTTTTGTTTTTATCAATAATATAATATAGTATGTATGTAATTTACAATTCTTGTATAATAATTTGCTGTATGAATGTTATAAGATAAAATTTTGAAATGTAAATAATTTAAAATTTATAAAGGAAAAAAATTATGTATGTATCTACATTTATATCTTTTTCAAATGAAACTAGACAAATTTCAGACTAACTCGACTTTGATTTGTAAAAAATTCAAATAGAAGAGATTCAAATTGAATTTCAAAAATTTCATTCTAATTATTTAAAAATATTCTGAAGTTATACAAAGATTCCCTTTGACTAGCCTCATTTTTGAAGTAGTGCTTGAAGAATCAGGCGACACTTTTTCCGCTGAATCTCTATTTTTGAATTATCAACTGGAGGAGAAAAGTTAAATTTGTACTGTACTTAGTAACTTAGAAAATTATCAAACATTTTAAAAAAACATGATATTTAAAGATTAAAATTATTTGCTTAGCATAATCTCTAATGGTCATTTGAATCAAAAATTCTATTTAAATAATATTCACTTCAAATAAAATTATTTACTGTAAATGAATTAATAATGAATATTGGATAGAAATCTCGATTATTTCTGAATTAGAATTTGCCCAATTTTTAGTTACAATAATTTTTTTTTATTTTTTAATTTATTGATGTAATTGATCTGTTTTGGCTAATTTAAATATTAAAATTTTAAAAATTAAATTTTTTTTTTAAGAAAATTTAATTTTCATAATGCATAAAATCGGTTTTAAACCATAACATATTTGTATTATCTCTATTTTACGTTCATATTTAAATTTATAGTATTTTTCTTTTTTCTTTGTATATATTTGATTATTGTTTTATATAATATTTATATAATTTTTCTTTATTTTTATTATTTTTTTTTATTATTTCTATACATTCACACACATTTAACATTAGTTTTAAAATTATTAACTGAAATATATATTTTTTCTTTATTATTTCAAATATAAGAGTAATAATATAATAATCATAAATTGTAAGATTAAAATTAATAAATTTTTTCTCATAATAGTAAATAGCTGATATTAAAAATATAGTTTTAATTTAGTAATTATATTGGTTAAATAACTAAATTTTAGAATAATGGAAATTAAACATAAATTTTGCTATAAGAGAACTTAGAAAAGAATTGGAGATAAAATGAAAATCAAAATATATAAATCTCAGTTTAGGCTGGGATAACTGAGACCTAATATTTTGATTTCCTTAAAAAAAAAAAAAAAACAGAAAAAAAATTAAATTGGTTACAAAAAATATAAAAAAATTTTTAAGTCTTCTTTCAATAAATTCTTTTATAGATAAGATACTTAATAATAAAATAATTAAATAGGGAATGATTAAAGAGTACAAAGCAATTAAAAAAAATGCCATTAAATTAAAATTACCAACAAAGATTATCACAAAAATTACAATTTCTTTGTTTTGTTTTTGATTCTGTGTTCTTCATTTTACATAAAACACGCAAAACTTAAACAATATACACGTACTTAAGCATTTTAAGTACTTTAATATTTCCAATTAGTTAAAAAGCCAAGAAAAAAAAATTAATATTATTTTTCTTTTTTGATAAACTTACAATGTTGGCAAATTTCTTCAAGTCATTTTGAATTATTAAATTGCTTCATAAGCCTCTTCAATTCTATTTGTATCAGAAGTTCCATTTAAAAAATCTTCTAGTTCTGATGTTTTTGATCGTTTTTTCTTTTTCTTTTCTTTTTTTTCACTTTTATCTTTATCTCTGTCCTTCTTTTCTTTTTTTTTCTTATGATGAGTTGTTGATTTTTTTTCTTGATTACTAATTTTACTTTCCGATGATGAATTTAAATCTTGACTTATACTTGGAACTGAACCAGTATCTTCTCCACCTTCTGGTGATCTTCTTATAGATGTATCAGTTAACCAATTATCTAAATTTTCTTCATAACTTTGTATATTTGGATGAGATTCATCTGGTGATATACTGGGAATTTCTTCACTTGAATAAGAATTTTTACGCAAATTATCAAGCTTAAGAAAATCTCCGCCATCAGCTACTAATCTTTTATTCTTTCCTTTTGCTAAAGGATTTATTTTAGTTGTATTAATTGTTGATTTTTGTTCAGGAGGTAAATTTAAGGATTTTGAGTTTTGTATATCATTCGATTCAAATTCTGTATCCTCCGGTTCATCGTAGAATCTTGCAACTAATGGATTTACAGTGTCATTATCGCTGTCTGTATCAGCATTGTTATTAGAATTAATGTTAACAGTATTATTACCCAACATATTGTCTGGTGAATTAACATTAGGAATATCATCTAAGAAATTTCGATCTAAATTACCGCCATCGTCAGGACAAAATTCTTCTAAACTATTTAGTTTTTGATTTTGATCAACAATTGACAATTTTCGAACTTCAGCTGATATATTAACATTATTGCTACCATTAAAATTGTTCTTTTGTTGTTGTTGAGCATCAGCATTTTTTAGGAGGCTTGATACCAATGCTGTAGCTTTCGTTGTTGAGCTTTCTTGAATTTTATTATTTGTATTGTTTTGTGTCATGGATTTACTTTCATTTATTGTTTGTGTTATATTAATTTGTCCCGGAATTACTATTGGTTGACCACCTCCTACTATTATACTTTTTGTTGGTCGTAATAAATTACTTGGAGTATTTACATTGGCACCTGGTGTCTGAATACCAGGTGTATTTGGTGAAGCTGGTGAATTTATTAAACTATTACTTATTGGAATTGATGTCGGAGGGACTCTAGAATTTGAATCAGCTACTTGTCTTCGTTTATCTGACAGTTTATTAAGAAAACTGTTATAATTTGCATCGTCACAATTCTAAAAAGATAATTTTAAATATAATAAAAGTCTATCTATAATCAATAAAATGTTAATACCAAAAATTCAACAATTTCTAGCCTGCATATTTCTGTATCTCGAGCATTTCTTTCAATTAATGCTAGAAATGTTTCTTTTTGTAATCTTAGAAAAGGAAGTCCCAAAAATTTATGGAGAAGCCTTAATCCAAAACCATTTCTCATTGAACTTTCAGCGTATATGATCTCAGAACTGCGACTAAAATGATGTAATTTTTAATATGTTGATTTTTATATTATTATATACCAAATTTTATAATTTAAAACATACCCTTCTAAATTGCTCTCTACAAAATCTTGAGCTTGTCCAACTGAAATAACTCTATGATGAGACATATCGCAATGATTACCTAAAACAAGAACTGGTATGTCGGCAGGTACTTTAGGTAACTCTCGAATTACATAATCAAAAGTCCTAAAATAAAATTTACAATTGAAATTATGATTTTATTTATGCCTCTTTTTATTTTGCTTTTAAACGGTACCATGCTTTAGTGATGTCGAACATAATAATTACACCGTGTGTTCCTTTATATACGTCCAAAAATTCAGCATCTAATGCTAAATTTTCAGGAATCGGAGCAGCAGTGGATAATTTTAAACCAGTTTGTTTAGGTCTGGCTTTACCTTTGTCTACAACGTCCCAAACCTCTACTTTTACAATATCTTCTGTAGCTTTAAATGACCATTGAATTGAAGCAACTTGTATTTCCTCCGTAGGTGTGTAAGTTTCAATAAATTGTCCACCTTGTAAACGTTTGAATAGACATGATTTGCCAACGTTTCGATCACCTTTTAAAATTACTTTCACTGAAAATGAATGGAGAAAATGTAAGCAGTGTGTTTTAATATGATTATTCGTATGTTATGTATAAATATTGTTATGTTCAAATAATTTAACTTACTATTATAATTAACACCCCTGGAAAATTTTTTTTGCAAAGATCCAGACATTGGTGTCGCTGATTCCAAATTTGTTGGTGAAACAACATCTTGTTTTGATGAAGTTAATTTTTTCAATGCTTGAAACATTGTTGCCCTCAAAATACTATTTTCTAATCTTAATTATTTTTTTTTCTTTTCTTGAAGGTTCGCAATATTAATTTTCAAACAAATTAAAATGAAGTCAAAATTCAAAACATACTAAAGATAAGATTTAAAGGATGAAATATTCCACAAACTTAAATTATTTTTTTCTTATTAAAAATAATTTTTTTTCTTTTTGAAATGAAATTTCAAATGAAAAAAAAAAAATTCTGCTAGATTAACATTACTTTCTCTAATTTTTTATTACTCGCTCCACTGAAATTTTGACACTCTTCATCTAGGTTTATCAATTTTTTGCCATGTCAATATTCAATTTGTCAAATTCCACAGTAAAAACAAAAAAAGGCTAAGCTTTTTTTAAAGAAACAGTGTCGAACTTCAGAAGAACTAAAAAACAAATTTTAATTGTGTGATCAACATGCTGTCATAACATTTTTAATTGTATGTCATACATGTATTTTTGTCCAAGATATTGATAAAATGAATATGGTTTTTAAATACATTAAATACATATATATATATATGTATATATATATAAGTATATGCAATACTGGATTTTCTTGTTTATCTATTTAGAGCACCGATCGTTTTTGATCAGTCGATTTTACGGCGCGTTGAAAATTTTTTGATTTTTGCGATTCAAACAAGTTGATCAACATGTTGAACAGTGTAGCATTGATATAAAATATGATGAAGCACAGTTACATATTTTGGATCACCCCCAAATATTCATTGTTATTTTGATGATAAACATAATGCTCACTTTTATTTATATAAATTTAATAATTTTGGCTATATAAATACTCCAATCTTTCTTTTGACTGGAGTCTTTTCATGCAGCATAATTCTTTAGAAACACAAACATAAGCAATCAACAATCAAAAATTACTGAATAACAAATTTAATGTTTAACAACGCACTTAAAGTAACGAAACAAAGAATTTCAATAATATTTTTATTATTCTAATACGTTATCCAAAATTGTTACTTAATGTAGAAAATTGTAACAGTTTGAATGCAAATTAATATGCTGGACATTTAAGCAATTAAACTATTTGAAATTATTAATTTACGGTTTGTAATAAATAAACTGTCTGATAGTGTAATTGCTTGCACTCATACAGTTGCGGGCTATTCAGGCATTAACCAGAAGTAAGTTTATGTAAGCTGTGCTAATAAAGTTTTATGTTGTTGTTTTGTTGAAAACAACACAACCCTTAACTTTATTTTAAACTTGACATGACGACACAGCTGAGCGAGAGAGAAAAGTTTTCTGTTCCCTTTTCTTTTTTTTTGGAGATCGAATGGTTTGTTTTCATATTTGTGCTTTTTTCTCGTTCTGACATTTTTTAGAAGAAAACTTAATGCGAATGTTGAAATACCTGAAGTGAAAAAAAAATAAATACAAGTGTTTTACTTTTTTTTATTGCCATTACTAAAAATATAATAAACATTTTTTAAAGTTATCAAAGTGCAATAAATGTTAAATAAATATACCTTGAGCTTTTAAGATGGAAGAAAGGTAAAATTTTTATGGTTTTGTTTACAAAATTGAATTTTATTTGAAAGAAAAAAGTAAAAAAATTTTAAAATGTCTCATATGACATTATGAATATGGACAAAGAAGAGAAAAAAATTAGTGATGTGTCCGAATATAAATTTTTTTTTTTTTTAAATGTAATTTTTAATTTCTTAAAAAAAATCTAATTTTAGTAATAAAACAAAAGAAACTGATGATATTAACGCAATAACTAAGGCTGAAGATGACGACAATTCAAGTAGAAAAGGAAGTGTTGTCAGCAACAGCTCTGGTGGAGGCTCATGGTGGGGTTCTTGGATAAATTCGGCAAAAGAAAAGGTTAGTAATTTTTTTTTTGTTTCCATTTAAGCTTGGTTATTTTCTATTCGAAGGATAGAAAGTAATAAGTATGTTCCATAATTTATTAATAGTTTCTAAATAATGGCTAACAAAATTTTTTTTCTAGACATCTACAGTATTTGAAGCTGTTAAAAACGATTTGGATGAACTTTCCCATGTAATTTCAACACAGGCTTCAACTGTAGGAGCCGCTATTGAAAATACTTTAAAAGTAGGTTTAATTATTAATACACCTGATTCAGTATTTCGGTAGAATTTTTTTGCTAAATAAGTATTTTTTTCTTTTTATACAATTCATATTATGTTATTTTTTTGTGTTCGTATATTAAAAAAAAAAAAATTGCTTACTATTGCAGTTTGACGAAAATACTGACGTTTCATTGGGTACTGTAAAAAAGAGTCTTAGTTCATTTTTTGGTCAAGTAACAGATGCATTAATACCATCTCTTCTCGAATATGATGAAACTGAAACAATTTTAATAACACATGATGGTTTAATAACATTAAGCGGTTTTCCAAAACATTTAGCTGAATTACAGAATAATGATAAAACATATACTGAGGCACCAGAACCAGAATTAAAACAACAATATAGAAGATGGATGGAAGTTATTGAACAAGATCAATTTACTCAAGATCGTTTAGCAAAACATTTAACTGGAAGTGAAATATTAAATGATAAATATATAAGTTTAGTGCCTGATAAAGTTTCGCATATGGATTTTTGGCAAAGGTTTTATATTTTTATATTTTTATTAAAGATATAACTAATACATAACATTTTATCCACAGATATCTTTTTAAGAGAGCCTTACTTGAAGATGCTTTAGCTAATGCTGAATTAGCTGAAAGACGTGCAAATATTGAAATATCATCAGATAAATCAGTTTCACCAAAAAAGAATATTATTCAAACAGAACAGCCTAAATTAAGTCAACAACATAAACAGGACGAAATATCGATTGCAGAAGAAGTATTTGTTGAAAAAGAAATCGAAGTTGATGTAGATGTTGAAGAATTGGAGAATGAATTATTAAACAACGATATATCTTGTAATGTTGAATTATCTGAAGAAGAACAGATAAGACTTTTAGAAGAATATGAACAAGAAATACAAGAACGTGAAAAAGTTAAACAAACTGGTGATAACAAGGAAAAGGTACAAAAATTTTAAGTTAATAAAAAAAAATGTTAATTAAATTAACATTTCTCAATATTTTGTATTTTTGTTTTTTGGATTGTATTTAGTCAAATAAAAGCAGTCCAAACAAATCTAAAAAATTAGATATGAAACAGAATTCACAACAAATAAAAGCTGCAGCAGCTAATACAAAAAATTCAAAAAATTTGAAAACTGCCACACAAAATAACAACACTAATAAAAATACGCCAAAAGATGATACCAAAAAAACAACCCAACATTCAATAAATCAACAAAAAGGAAAAACAGTTGGACAGCAGCAAACAGTTGGTTCAAAAAAAACTTCAACAACAATTGCTCAGGCGAAAGCTCAAAAAGATAAAGAAGAAAATTCATCGGCGTCCGATGAAAGTTGGGAAAAGGATTTCGATTTAAATTAAATATGTTTTTCAAAAAAACAGTATAAAAAAAAAACAATTTTTTTTTTTAATTTACATAAAATTTACAAACAAAAAACAATTTTAAATATAAATAAATAAAATGAAATTTTATTATTTTTTAATACAATTCATATATTATATTTAAATGATAAGTGATAAAATCGAGAAAAAAAATTTAAAAACAAAAAAAAAAGATTATATATACAATTATATAAGATAAGTAAATGAATACAAACAAGGAAAAATTATAAGTTTACAAAAATTAAAAATAAAAAAACTTCTATTATTGATATTTTATATTTTTTTTTCTATATATAGAAATTTAAGATAAGCTGCTTATTTGAATTAATATGAAATATTAGAACAAAAACTTCATGATTAAAATTCAAGTAGAAGAAAAAATCAACACATAAATTTGATTTATAAACAAATATATAAAAAAAAAATATATATGTATGTATTTTGCATGTTAATAATTGTAGATCAATTTTAATGTGAATTAATAAAATTAATTATTAAATATAGAATTTAATTAATAAAAATGCCTTGAATTAGAATTCAAATTTGCAGCAAATCTATTAAAAAATATTTCATAAATTGCATAATATAAAACAAAATAATTATATATTTCACAAAATAGTTATAGAATTTTATTATTATAATTTCATTTATTTTTTAAATAACAAACATTATATTATTAATATTCGAAATCATTCTGTATTGAAGATACATAATATAAAATTTTTAGGGGATTTAGGAGATTTTTGATAATTGAAAAAAAGTTCTAATTTAAATCTTAAAATAGTGTTTTCACAAACTTTACAAATCTGCTGAAACTGAACATTTAACGTTTGCAGATTTGAAAGATAATTAAATAATTCCTCAATATTCAACATTTTTCTGTTATGTTCTTCTAATTAATAATATTTTTGTAATAATTATAAAATAACTTAAAAATTCTTTTTAGGCACAATTAAAATTGCCAAACTTGCTATATTTTGTAGTTTAAATTTATCGAATGTGCTTTATATTAAGACCTAAGTTGGAACTGAATTATCGAAAATCCCCCATCTTTCATGCATTCATAAGAAAATATAAAATTTCTTTCATTTATAAGAAAAATTTAATTTAATTAAAATCATTTAATATTTTTTTTTTAATTTTTTTTGTAATGACAATTTCACACCTTTATTTTCTTTATTTTTAAAATCTTTTACAATTAAAAATTGTATGTCATTTTACGAATATATTAATAGAACATTATTAACATATAATATTCCCAAATTTTTTTAATAATATAAATAAATAATATTTTTAATAATAGCAAATATAAATATAATAATATTTTAGTTTAAATTCCTAACAAAATTTTAGTTATTATTGTAATGTATATCTATATTTTATTTGTTGTCTTTGGTATATAAAAATAATAAATATAAAAAAATTAGACGTTTAAAGTTAAAAAATGTTCTTTTTCAATTTTACATTATTAGCAAGCGCTATAGGAAATTAATGTATGCATATATAGACCATATAAAAAATGTAGGTTCTAGATGTAGGATCATATAGGATTTTTTGAATATTGATTTTAGTGTGCTTTAAATAATGCTTAAAAGTATTTTGTAATGTTTTTTTTTTGCCATCTTTGAAATATTTTACCATTATAGTATTGTCGTTATTGTCTCATTAGTTTGGTGTAATCACTTATTACCAGTACTTTTTAAAGGAGAACTTTAGAAATTAATAGAAAAGTCATTGTTGCGGTAGACATTTGTATAACACAGTAAAATTTTATTTAAATCATTCTGATTCATAATAATTTGCAAAAATTATAATAGCGATATCAAATTTTAGAAAAAATTATCTTACAATTTGTAGCTTTTAAATTCAGAGGAATTTACGATTGTTATATTGCTAATTCTAAAGTAGGAACTCGCATTCTATTCTGAAATTAATAATTGAGAAATAAATCATGAATTACCTTCGTAATGTACATAAATCATAAACCTCGAAAATATTCAAATGTAATAAATAATATTAAAAGAACCATTGTGTTATGGGGATTACAAGGACATTACCTGCGGATTATAATTTATAATTAATCAATTTAACGTAAAATTTATCGTAATATTATAATATTGATAATACCAACATTTAACGATTCAGTTTAACAATTTAATTAGAAAATCCTATGAAATTGAGAACTGAGGTGATAGCAATAACATAAATGGCAAGTATCGTATTTTTGTAAATTTTTAAAAGAATTAATTAATTTAAAAAAAAAATCTACACAAAAAATTAATATTTCAAAAGATTTTGAATTTTTCTTTTCAACGACATCTATTACTGACATAATGAAAAACTTTAATATTATATGAGTACTAAATTTCACGTTACTACTGTCGTGAATTTCAAGTATTTTTCTAAAGAGAGTAGATTTTTTTTGAATTAGGTTCGTGTCTTTAATAATAAGTTTATTATTGTTCCTCTTGGCAAAATTAATCTAGTTTTCAAACCAAAATACAAATATTCCACAATTTTATTTTATTTCACAATATGTTTTTTTAAAAATGGTCCAGCGAATCAATAAAAATGGATTTCTTTTTAAAATTTCTAAACGCTCTCAAATAATTTTTTTTTGCTGGATGCTTACTTAAGGATTATAATTGCATAACTCAAAGGATTCTCTTTCAGTTCTTCCTTCATTTTTGGTCCGATAAGCGTTGTAACATTTATTTATTTTTTGGGTTTATTTTATTCAATAAAAAAAAATTCTTAACAAAAAAAAGAAAATATAAAAAAAAAATAGAAAAAATATTTTTTTTAAGTTTTTTTCAGTGAAAATATTTGGGTTAAATTTCGTAATTTATTAATTTACAAAATGTTGGTTGTTAAAAAATTTTTGTTATATTTGTCGAAAATTTTGAAAAATCACTAAAAAAAAGTCTTCCAAAAAAAAAAAAAAAACAGCAAAAAATAGATTAAGAAAAAATTTTTTTTTTACACAAAAATTTTTTTTTGGTGTTTCTTTTTATTTTTTTTTCTCGTTTTTGTTTTAATTTAATGAACAAATTTATCTACTTATACGAATGATTCTTATATACGTATATATAACAATATTGTATAGTCCTGTTAAAACTGTTATAATATTATATACATGAATGCAACAACAAAAAGCGTATAATAAATGAGTAAAAAATAAAAAAAAAACAAAAATCAAAACCTTTGAAGGATAAATTTGTAAATTATATTGTGATTTTATATTATATATACAACTATACATACAAGTATTTCAAATTTACGAAAAATAAATATATCATATATACACATTCATACAAGCATACTTGTACTCGTATAAATATATGAGAAAAATCGATAGCATAAAATTTCAATATCACATTAAGGCATCCAAAGGATATATGAGAGAAAAATCTTCAATTCTTTCCTTATAAAGAATACGAAAATTTATTTTATATAAGGACGGAAAATAATTTACTTTGGGGCTAAATCTACTGGGCTAACTTGTTTAATAGTTAAAAACTAAATAAAGAAGATTAAATATAGGTTATATACTGAGAAAAAAAAGTTCAAAAGTAATAAAGAATCGATGTTTTTTTATTTTTCTGTTTTTGTTTTTTGTGTTTAAGTGTAGAACATTGTGTTCGTTTTGGTAACCTCCTTTAAAATACACAAAAGTTATATAGAGGGACAATAGAACAACGTTCTATTTGAAAGTATATATTTACAGTAAAAAATTACAAGGAAAATTACATAGTCTAAATAGTGATTTAATTAAAAAAAAAATAAATTATGGCTTTCCTTAATAATTTAAAATCAATGCCATTACCACCAATGAAAAATGTTTTAAATGTAGCATTACAAACGGCACGGCAACAAATGCCAAATAAATCGAAACAATCTGAATATGAACAACCAGCTGGTAGTGAACATCCATCATCAGAGCATATAGATGGTACATCACCACCACCTATACCGCCAAGACCATCATCAGGTACAGAATCACAACAACATGTACCATATCAAGAAGGTAGTGCTGCTGGTGGTGGTAATGGTAATGGTAAAAATTTAAACAATTGTATTTTTGTATACGCCGTTTATAGCACATTTTGAAATTTTTTAAATTAAAAAAAAAAATAAAAAAAATATGTTTTTTTTGTTTTTTTTTTTTTTTTGTAGAAATTCCAACAGAAACACATGAATTAAATCCGTTTAGAAATCCTGGCGCATATACAGAAGAAGGAAGTTATAATGAAAATGGTGGCGTTGGTAATACATCATTTATTGATTATAATGAAGGTTATCAACAGGGAGGAGGTTACCCAAGGTATATGCTTTCATATTATTTTATTTATTTTTTGTTTTATTACAATATTATAAGTGCTTTTCTCGAAAATCGAAAATATTGAGCGAGTATTGAAAATTGCAATCACTAAATTCGATAGATAATTTTAATTAAGCTTTTCAACTTTGTTCGTTTGTGATTTCAGGATGATAAAATAATTGTTGGTTGACATTTTGACAGGTTAACATTGACATACATATCTATAAAAAAAACGTGTTTGTGCATGATTATCTAGTACTCGAAATAATTTCAATTTTATTTCACTTACAAAATCAAACAGTTTAAGAATTATTATTTTAAAATTTTTTATGTGGAAGCATAACTCTTAATTGAAATTAGAGTGAAAGCTATTAAGAATTTTCGGCAATTGATTTTTTATTTTCTTATAGGCATAAAAAATATTTCAAAATTTCAAATTTAATTTTTTCAATTTTCATTTTAGAACTGGAAGTGTTGCTTCGGAGGGAAGTTCGTTTGCATGTGAAGGTGAAGGAAGATCTGATGTAAAAATTGATGAACTACAAGCTGGTACTTAAAATTTATTTTAAATTTTTTTTTTATATTTCAAAAAATTTACTAATTTCTTGATTACAAAAATTTTAGCATGGAATGTTACGAACGCAATTCAAGGTATGTTTATTGTATCATTACCATTTGCTGTATTACGTGGCGGTTATTGGGCAATAATTGCAATGGTTGGTGTAGCCCATATATGCTGTTATACTGGTAAAATATTAGTTCAATGTTTATATGAACCAGATCAAACAACTGGTGAACCGGTACGTGTTCGTGACAGTTATGTTGCAATAGCAAGAGTATGTTTTGGACCAAGAATTGGTGGTCGTGTTGTTATGTTCGCACAAATAATTGAATTATTAATGACATGCATATTATATGTTGTTGTATGTGGTGATTTATTAGCTGGTACGTATCCAGAAGGTGCATTAGATACCAGATCATGGATGATGTTAACTGGTATATTTTTATTACCATTAGGATTTTTAAGATCATTAAAAATGGTCTCAATATTATCATTTTGGTGTACAATGTCACATTTAGTTATAAATGCAATCATCTTAGGTTATTGTCTATTAGAAATCGGTGATTGGGGTTGGTCAAAAGTAAGATGGTCATTAGATATGGAAAATTTTCCAATATCATTGGGTGTTATAGTATTCTCATATACATCACAAATATTTTTACCAACATTAGAAGGTAATATGATTGATCGTTCAAAATTTAATTGGATGTTAGATTGGTCACATATTGCTGCTGCAATATTTAAAGCATTATTCGGTTATATATGTTTTTTAACATTTCAAAATGATACTCAACAAGTTATTACAAATAATTTACATTCACAAGGTTTTAAAGCATTGGTAAATTTTTTTCTTGTTATTAAAGCAATATTAAGTTATCCATTACCATATTATGCTGCATGTGAAATATTAGAACGTTCATTATTTCGTGGTCCACCTAAAACAAAATTTCCAACAATTTGGCATTTAGATGGTGAATTAAAAGTATGGGGTTTGTCATTTCGTGTTGGTGTTATACTTGGTACAATAATGATGGCAATATTTATACCACATTTTTCAATATTAATGGGTTTTATCGGTAGTTTTACTGGTACAATGTTAAGTTTTATATGGCCATGCTATTTTCATTTAAAAATTAAAGGACATCTTTTAGATCAAAAACAGATCGCGTATGATTATTTTATAATATTTTTGGGTTTCTTATTTGGTATTATAGGTATATATGATTCAGGAAATGCATTAATTAAAGCATTTGAAATTGGATTACCATTTTAAAATAAAAATTTATTGGAATTTATATCTTTCATATATTTTTCTTCAATATTCCTTGAATGTTTTTGAGTTTGGTTTATTAAAACATATAAAATAAGAAAAAAAAATATTTAATTGCGAATTTTAATTTTTATATATAAATGTAGATGATTGTTTACTTTATTGGGAATATTCAATTGAAATTATACGATAAAAAATTTAATAAATTAAAAATAAAAAGTTAAGTATAAAAGAACATTAAATTATTAAATATGCATTAAAAATTGAGGTAATTAAATGAAAAGCAATTATTGATATTGTAAATGAAAATTGTATTCAAATTTTTTCCATATTTTTGAAAAGTTTTAAGAAAAATTTACAATTTTTTTTTTGCAATAATTTAGAAATTTTCTAATATTTTGTAAAATTTTAATTCATTTACTTTTATTTGAAAATAGAATGCTTTAGTAGAATTATTTTTTTCAACATTTTAATTAATTTTTAATGGCCATAATAGTTCTTATAGGGAATCGAAGGTTAGGGATAATTTTTGTAATTTTATTGCAATAATAATCGAAAATTAATTTTATTGCAAATGTGTTAGGGCTTATTCTGAGTATCGAATCACTAAGTGAAAGTAACAATTATCGCAAAAAATTTCATATTTTTATTGTAAACATAAATTACCCATGTTTTTAATAAAGTTTTTGAATCTTTTACGATAAATATCATTATCACTAAGTGATTCGATACTCAGAATAAGCTCCACTGTTATTTCTCTTTTATTGGCTCTGTTTTAAATTATTTTTCTGTCAGAATAAAGATTGTATTTCTTTGTGGTAAGTGTTGTAAAATTGCTCACAAAAATTTCAATTGGTGACACATTTATATAATAATAATCGATTTCCATATTACCGATTCTATCTTTTCGATTTCCGTTGCACTGCAGACTTCTTTTAATTTTCTGAAATTCGATATCCAAATTAATATACATGTATATTGTTGTGAATTTAGATTTATTTTAAACAAGAATTTCGCACAAAGTTAGTAATGTTGTTGGTTACTTTTTCATATATTCATATACAAATGTAGGTATTTTATGTAAATATTATGTAAATGTTGTTTAAACAAAAAAAAAAATATAAATGTTACAATTGCGAGATTTGTATGGATTTAAATAAAAAAATTTTTACAAATCTCCCAAAATGATTTTATAACATTGAGATCATAAATTTAATAATTTTTATTGTAGAACAAGTTTTGTCTTTGAAAAAATTCCATTTCATAAAATTAAACCAAAAATATTCAAAAAAATGTTAAATTTCAAAACGAAAAAAAATTTAGTTTTTTTAATGTTTTGAAATGCAAATTTTATTTATTTTCATATGCTTTTCATATTTTCAACAATTCATTTTCATTATTTAAAATAAATTTTATGGTTCCAATAATTGGCTCTAAATTTGATTTTATTTCATAGTGCATTAAAACTTCTAAAAACCAATCATATTTTTAAAGACAATCCAAATTAAAATTTTGTTCTGCGTGCAAATTGTGCAAAAAAAATCAATTAATTTTAGTATAAAAATCTCTTCACTATTTCATAGTGGAAATGCTCAGTTTTTTTTGTTTGTTTTTCTAATACGTATTCTATAATAAAAATTATATATCAAAATTCTAATTGGAAAAGAATATAAAAAAAAAATTTTAAATTTTTCAAATTAAATTAATTAATTTTATATTTAAATTTATATATAGATGTGAAAAAAGTTTATGCAATGCGACCCACCAAAAAAAATAGTGAAATTTAAAAAAAACTATATAATTGGGATATTTTAAAATCACCCCATACAACACACATACAACTATATATAATAAAATTTAATGCTTGTTATTTGCTTTATTCGTCAATATTTACATATATGAAAATTTTGAATAAGCTACAAAAATTGAAAGAAAATTGAAATGATAATCGATTTATTCTTATATTTATTATATTTATATACATATATGTATAACAAATATTTATTTTTAAATCTGTATAATAATAAATTTGTAAACTATATAACTATATGTAATATAAAAGATGTCTTCCAAAAAATTGCATATTAAATATGTATTTATACAATATTGTACAATAAAAAAAAATAAATATAGTTACTTTAAAAATATTATACAAAATGTCAAAGAATAATTTAGTATAATGAAACAAAACTAAAAAGTCTTCCAAAAATCAAATGTCTTTCATAAAATAATAAAATTGAATTTAATGTCTTCCAATATTTATACAAACTTTTAAAATTATGTTCATATAAAATTAAGAAAATAGAAATAGCTAATTTGTAATTTTTTATATTGTTTAAGATTATTTTCATTTTGAAAAATTGCATTTGTATGATATTGTATATATTTTTCTAAGTAGTTCAGTAAGTTTTTTTTTAACTGCAATGATATGTGGTGTTTATAATGCCTTTGAATTCTTGACGACATTGCTATTTTCTATATTCAGTTCTCTAAATTGTGAGCGCAGTGAGAACAGTTAAATAGAAATAACGATGATGTAAGAAATCAAAAGTGTAAACACCCTTTTATAATTTTACTTTATGATAATATTTTTGAAAAATGATATTTAAAAGGAATAGAGATGGCAATATTTATTTTCTGAAAACAAGTTTAAAGATTATTTTGTATGCCATATGCGTCGAATAAAATAAAATATAATTTAAAATAATTAATATAATTTAAATAATAAATTTGTGATCTAAAAGTATTATTTTTTTGAATCCTAGAATTTATATGTACATATTTCGTTTTAAAAAAATTTACAATTGACGTTTTTACCGAAAATAGTGATTGGCTTTTAAAATAAAAAATATTGTATTAACTGCCATCTATTATTGTAAAAGCACATATATATGAATTACATATAAATTCTTTAGCTGCCATTTAAATATCAATTCGCCTATTTTTTTTTTTTTTCAAGTACGTTACATATACATTATTATTTTTTTTTTAAAGAAAATATTTTAAAAATTCGAAAATATTACAACTGAACAAATGAAGAAGAAAAAAATGAAATAATTTTAAACGAACTTTTAAGTATAATTGATTTATTTGAAAAAAAAAAAATTGTTTAAGTTAAGTACAAATTACAAAAAATTAATTATAAATAATTAAAAGTTATATATGTATATATATAAAAAAAATAAATCCAGTAAAAAAACATAAGTCTTCCATAAATGATCAATTATTATTGAAAAAACATTATATATATACAAATATAATTATTTATTAAAGAATTATTAAAAGAATATTGCATAAGAAAAAGAAAAACTATTTGACAAAGATATGACACTAAAATTGTATTATAGATCATAAGTTATATAATCGTTTAAAATTTCTTAGTTAATTAAATTAAATTTTAATATATATACATATAATTATATAAATTAAATTAATTAAATTAATTATGTAAACATTATTTATGTTAAGATTAATTAAAAAACAAAAAACCATTTTCCTATCATATTAGACGAACTGTTGGCTTTTATCTCAAAATGTAGAGTGACTTTTTAATATCATAAGAATTTGAAAAGTTTTAGTATTGACACAAACCAACCAATAAATTTATTTGGTTCATGTCATATAAAATAATATGAAACATTCTCGTTTTTCTGAAATGATGGTTAGTGATGCGTGTAATATGATAAAAAATAGAAAAAAAAAATAAATAAATTTTACAGATGACAATAAAACATGTGAGGAAAAAAAAGCAAAAATAATAAATTTTACATACGCGGAATACAAGAAAATAACAATTTATCAGCAAAAAATTAATAATTATCGTAGTAAAATATATTCTTAAGTAATTTTAAACATAGAACACAAAAATTGAAATTATATAATGTCATATGTATATATATAAGTATATATTATACAAAGGAACAACACGTTAATTAATTAGATAGTCATCAACATTTAATTATCATTATATAATTATATAATTAATATTTAATATTTTATGTAATAAAAATATACTAATAAAATAATAAAAATTTTATATTTGTGAATATATTGCATATTAAGTATAATTAATGTGTAAGAAAATTTTTCATATAACAAATTATTTTAAAATATTATATTATTATGATTTTTACAAGTTGATTTTATATTATTACAAGTTTAAAATTTAAAATTAATTTTCCATACAATTTAAACATATATCTAAAATATTAACCGGTACTTATAATTTCTAATTTAAAAATCATGAAAGTTAAATTGAAAAATCTTTCCATACTCAACTAAAATCATATACATATGTACATACTTATATAATTTTATAGTTTACTTATTAATTATTGACGTAAATTTAGACTGTCATACGATAGAGTTCAGGAATTTAGATTATTTTTCAATTTTATTAATATCCAATATTTAAATATCAATAATAATTAAATTATTATAAAAATTCATTTCATAACTTTGGAAAGTTAGTTGTACGCTTTTGTGCGATTTATAATAACCATACATATAATTGTCTTATTAGCATAATTATTTTAAAATTTACAAGTAATTGTTCCTTTTTATAAGTACATAAATAGTAAGATTAATCATATGCTTTTATTTAAATTAAAGACAATAAATGCAAAAATATTGTATTTTCCACATTGAAAAAGAACAACTATTTTGGTCATTAAATCTATTGGAAATTATGTTATAAATTTATTTCTGTGTTCTTTAATTAATAATTTTATTTTTAAGTTGAATTCAATTCCAATTATATTTTCCGTTAATAAGAATAAAAAAATGAATTTTATATTAGAATTAATTGAAAAAAAAATACAATATTATTATAAATTTAATATAATATCCATGGTCTTCCAAAAATTGTTTATATGTATATTTAAATTTTGAAAACTAAAAAAAAAATTAATTTCAATAAATTTTAAATAATTTTCATATGTAAATGTGTAAATTCATATATATCTATAATATATAGAATAGAATATTCTCCAATAATGCCAAAAAAAAACAAAAAAAAAATTTTCAAAAAAATTAAAATTTTTTTTTCTGAAAATACTGTAATATACGATTATAAATACATACTACAATATTAAATATAAATTAGAATTAAATATAAATAACAAAACATAGGATTATATTATATAATATTTTATTATATAACAAAGAAATGTAATTGTAACATATTAATTATTATTTCCTTTGTTTTGCTGTGATTTCTTTTCTTATTATTTTAATATAACTAATTATTACCAACAATATATGGAAATTTTTAAAACAATTTTTAATAAGAAGCGGTCTTATTTCAACAAATTGAGATTATTTCATCCTTTCAACTATGGTCGGGCTCATCAGTAGATGTACAACACTAGGAATCGTATACATACAATTTGGTACATTCGGAGTTCTAAAATTTCAAAAATTATTTGAGTCACAGAATTTGTAACCATACTGTTCTTGATTTTTTTTGCTATTAATTCCAGTTCAACGTGCTATTTGGGGGATGCTTGTGTTAAAAAACATGATTGCCAAATTATTTATACCTTGTACATGTTTATTTATTTATACATGTTTATTTATTTATTTATTTGTCGTATACGTAATACAAATACTGCTTTTTTACAGTTACCTGAATTTAAATTAAATAAATTAATAAAAATAAAAACATATAAAAAAACATATAAAAAAACTTTAATTACAATATATTAGTTATTTGTTTCAATAATAAAAGAGAGAGCAAATCCAACAAATTAAAAAAAAAAAACAAAAAAAAGCTATATCAGAGTATGAAATATATATACATATACATATAAAAAAACAATAGATATTAAAATTATAAATAATTAAAATTAAAAAATTAAAAAAAAAATTCGTTACATATTGTAAAGTTCATATCAACTATTAATATTAAAAAAAAAGAAAAACACAAAATTTACTAAAAGAATAAAACGAAAGTCTTCCAATTATATACACACACAAATATAAAATATAATATAAAAAATTAAAAATAAAAAAAAAAAATTATAATTGGTTATGTGGAGAAATGGTATCGAAAATAAAATGAAAATTTTGTTGAATATTTTTAATTATTTTATTGTTACGTAAAAAATTATGCGTAAATTATCTGTTTAAATACCGTTATATAGCGGCGCTGTACCCGTCGGCAAATCGAGTGGGTTGTGTCTTCAATTTTAATAAATTTTTTAACGTGTACATTAAAAGTCGTGTACAGTTGTCAAAGCGATTATAAATCCGTTAAATTATTGATTTCATTAATATATGGACGTTTACCAAAATGCAGATTTAACGTCAACTTGACTTATTTACAACAGTACAGTTTTAATTGTTGAATAAGTCAGGTTGACGTTAGATTTGCATTTTGCTAGACGTCCTATGCATATAATCTCCTTTTTAACAATATTTTTATAAGTATTTTGTATATTTTATATATTTAATAGCATTTATATACATAATCTGTTATGTATAAATTAAAAGGTTTCAATTATAATTCAATAATTTTATTTATTTTAACGACACTAGCGCCATATGTATGTGTTAAAATATTTCCGTTCAAATTTTCATCAACATATTATAAATTAAAATGGTTACTTTTTAATTTAATTTTAATCTCTTATATTGATATTAGTTCCCCATCCACATATATGTTTAAATATTAAATTAAAAATTTATTAAATAAAAATATCGGAATTTTAAATATATGATAAAAAAAGGTCAACAAAAAAAAACAAACTAAAACTAAAAAGGAAAAAAAAATATATATTCTTAAATTATTATTATATTTAAAATATTAATAAATAAAAAAAACAAATTATATTTAATTATATCAAAAATTATACATACATATATTTAATTAAACATATATATAATATACACACATGTACATGTAAAATTTAGATAAATGTCAATGTATTAAAATCAAAATAAATAAATAAAATTAAAAAAAATCCTAAATTTATCCCAAAATCACAAAAAAAAAATAAAAAACATAAAAATCCAGAAAAAAAATTATTATAAAAAAAAATTGTTTTAAATGTAAAATGAAAAAAAAAAAGAAAAATTTGTGCTATTATTACTGAAATAAAAATTATAGTTCTAAAATAATTCGGCGATTAGATTTTATTTATAAAGAAAAGATTTAAATATGGGGCCAATATAATGGTTTGCAAAGAATCTCATTTTCCTACTAAAGATGCCGAAAATTTAAATTTTGTTAATGGTGAGAGACGAGAACTTTAAAAAAGGGGCAGAGAGAAGACTAGATGTTAACAAAATATTTTATAGCTGATTCTATTTCATTAACAAAGAATAGTTATCTGAAATAATGATTTAATTTTCTATAAATAAAAGCTTTTGGTAATATTTTAAATAAACTTATCACTGATAAAATATGGCAACGTATATTAGCATAAAAGTTGATCAATTAAACGCAAGCAGCTAAAATGGGGATATCAGGAGAAATTTATCGACCAACTGAAGTTATAAGTGTATCTGGTACAGGAAACCTGAATATTGCTGCACACAATAGCAATGATATCTAAATTGTAAGATGTACTTAATGGTTCTGGTTTGGGAATTAAGCAAAAACTGCACAGTTCACCTCTATGATATCATACACCGCCTCCAATCTACCCAATTCTTCAATTTTCTCATTTTTCATACCATTGGTGCTATCCTCGGGATTGATCATTGGGTTAGTTTATATCTCCTGCAGTAGCATCACAAAGCCGCCTTTAACTGTCGTATTAGAGGTCGAACTTCACACATACGCTGCTACGAAAATCCTTACTCGTAAGTGTACATCGACTATTCGATGTGTTCAGATTAATCTCCATAGATCAAAGGCATCCTTTGCTAATCTCATAAAGTTCTCGCTTAGCAAATGCTGGGACATTGCTTTCATCCAAGAACCATGGGCTCATAACAGTTAAGTTAGAGGTCTTCCAAATAACAAACATTATAGATGCATTTATGATCTGAATATAGAGAGACCCAGGGCCGTAACCATGGTCCGAAACGGTCTGCATATGGTTTGCATAAATAAGCATATTTCACGGGACCTACATTTGGTTTTCCCGGTGGTGGAAAGATAAACATAAATTTGGCTTCGGCCTATTTTGCCGGGGACATTGAGTGTCTCTCCCCTTGGGTTGATACGTTCGTTAATCAATGTAGGGTGGGTCGAACGAAGCTCATAATCGGATGCGACGCTAACGCCCATCACATGGGTTGTGGAAGTTCAAACACGCCCACAACCCATGTCCGAGGAGAACAACTTCTCGAATTCATTCAGCAATACGGTATGGAGGTGGCAAATGTGAGTTGCGAACCCACTTTCTTAAATGTCGTTCGACGAGAGGTACTTGATCTCACCTTGTCAAGTGCAGGAATAAGTAACATTGTCTCGAGAAATCAATAAGGCTATACAAAATGCGTATGTCTACAGCTCACCGTTGATAAACATGACCTTCACTAATCAAAATTCTGGAAATTTCCGGAAAGGTAAGACTATATTTACATTTAAATTTAAAAGCTACAATTCTAGGAAATATGGCCTTAATGCAAATAAATGTAAAAAGAATTATAAGAAGAGTACTGAAGAAGAAACATTTGAACTAATGTGAAACATGGTTCTTCAAAAGATTGAACTTTGTGGTGTTTAGATAGTGGTACAGCCTCGTATATCGGTAATGTAAAGGAAAAATTAAATGCATTTGAATCTGTTAAGTTACAACATTTAAATTTGGCAAATACAACTACAACCAATATATCTGGTACAGGCAACCTAAATATTTCTGCACACAATAGCAATGATATCAAATTGTAAGATGTATGTACTTAATGAATCTGGTTTGGGAACTAATTTGATTTACGTATTAAAAAAAGAAAAGCACGATTTGTCAGAAAAGAATGTGCACAAAAATTTGACGTCGACTCTTTTGAGACTGTTGCTCCAGTAACTCGTTCAACTTCAATTAAATTACTTATTGCACTGTCAGTTGAATAGAATCTGCAACTTTACCATTTAGATATTACAAAAGCGGTTCTTCATTCAAATTTAAATGAGGCAACTTATGTTAAACCACCTGACTCTTATTTTGAATTGAATGGCATACCAAACGAAACAAATGGCATACCGACTAAGAACAAAGAATGTGCGGTTATGTTACCACCACCTAGCTGTCATTAAGTGTACGATTGCAGGTGGCTTATTAGAGCCACCCGATTCTTTTGAGAAATTTATCTAAATCCCTGATGCTAAACTTCGATATTTTGTTTAGTCTCGTCACACTTGTTCTGACCTACGTGATTAGTCTGGTCCTACCCAGACTAATATTGTAATTTTATTATACAATGTAAACTCAATGTGTAATAATTTCATTGCAATTGCAGCGGCCGCATATAACAAATGAAAAACGGGAGTATATAACATCTACTCTATATTTATTAAATACATATTAGTATTTTAATTATAAATATCACGTTAATTTAATATTGTGGTTATTCTACACTAAATTCCTTGTATACATAAAGAAAAATAAGAAATTAAATGAATTTTTCTCGGTTCTTTTTTGGTTAGAAAAATAAGAGTATAGGCCTTGAAAATTCACATCTGTTATTCTATAAATTCTTTTGGGTTTCGTAAAGACTTTCTATAAGCAATATGTATAAACACATATTATCAAATTCTATTAAAAAACATTTTAAAATAAAAAAATAAAAGAGTTAGTTAACTGATATCCTTTTAAGAAAATGCGTTATATGATTTTATCTACGGAAAGGTTTACCTTTAGGCTACTAGAAGTTTGACCTTTTACATAATATAGAATAACCCTGCACCTTAACATTATCTCATTCTTAAGCATATACACTCACACTTTTTAAATATGTAAGACCTTATCTCTACTTAAAATAAAAATTACTATATTTTTTTTTTTTATAGTTAAAACGAAATTGGCCAAAAAAGTTTTATCATAATTAAAAGGTAACACAAATTCAGAAAAATCCATCTGTTAAAATAACACAACCAAAACAAAAATAAAGATGAAAACTAAAAACCTATAAAAATTCATTCAACTCCTTTTATTCCTATACGAACCTATCCAATAAATTTTATACTTTGTTTCGATTTTCTTTATTTTGTTTTTTTAGCCAAGAATAGTAAATGCCAACAATAACAACATTTCGCGAAAAAAGAGTAACATTTAAAAAAAAAAAGCAAAAGGCAAAATTTATATTAAAAGAGATTACCGCAACTTACAACAAAAAAAAAAAAAACAAATCTAGCGATTCACAGTTAGCGTTTCATTTTTATGTTCTCAAGTCTTACTTTATGCTTCTGCTTTATGCTTCTGGTTTAAATGAATTTCATATAGTATAATCTTCTCAACAAAAGTTTACGACAACCATATATTCTTATAAGAATAATGGTAATTTTTCATAATGTATGTGTACATATGTGTGTTTGTATTGCACACGCAAAATATTGTAGGTTTGAAGAGTTATGTAACATCACTTTCTATCCCATAATATATGTTTGTGCTATACAGAAGAAAAAAAGGAATCTTTATGTGAGATCTATTTACAAGTGTATCATCATCATCAGCATCATTATCATCATAATCATCATCGTCATCATTTCCATCGTTATCATTATTAAATGTGTACATATGTAATGAATTTAATGCAGAATATACACACGATGATCAAAGTAAACAAAGAGAAGGCTAAAAATTGGATTAAAGATCACATGTGATCAGTGCAACATTTTTGAATTTTATTGGTAATTGTTGTTGTTAAATGTTGTTTGGTTTTATTTTGCGACAACTCGTAGAGTCGGGTCGGTAAAAGCCTTCTATATATACATTATTTTATTTTCGTCTTGTTGTTGAAAAGATTCTCTAATTCTTTATTTTCATATATTCTTTTATTCTTTATTTTCATATATTTTTGTATATTTGAATTTTTCTTATAATATTATTTGAACTAGAAAAGGGAATGTTGCAGGAGGTTTTCTCTAAGGCAGTACGATCACAAAGCCGCCTTTAACTGTCGCATTAGAGGTCGAACTTCACACATACGCTGCTACGAAGATCCTTAGAAATAGATTTCTGATAACTGTACATCGACTATTCAATGTGTTCAGATTAATCTCCATAGATCAAAGGCAGCCTCTGCTAATCTCACAAAGTTCTTACTTAGCAGATGCTGGGATATTGCCTTCATCCAAGAACCATTGACTCATAACGATAAAGTTAGAGGTCTTCCAAATAACAAACATTATAGATGCATTTATGATCTGAATACAGAGAGACCCAGGGCCGTAATCATGGTCAGAAACGGTCTGAATGTGGACCTCACAGCGGTTCACCTACATTGGGTCTTCTCGGTGGTGGAAAGATAAACATAAACTTGGCTTCAGCCTATTTTGCCGGAGACATTGACTGTCTCACGCGTTGATGCGTTCGTTAATCACTGTAGGGTGGGTCGAACGAAGTTCATAATCGGATGCAACGCCTATCACATGGGTTGGGGAAACTACAATACAAACACCCGAGGACATTATATGACATCATTATATGATATGATTCCTGCGCGCGCTTACAAGGTCGCAAAGACTGTTTTCACCGAAGAGAGGGTAGACTGGGAAATTTATTCGTTTGGCCCCTACAAGAGTTCCGATGCCGATTGGGTGTACCCTACATTCCCGCAAAGGGCGCTGAGTGTTCTTCTGCCATATATTACAAATATGTTCAGGGCAAGTCTGGTCCTAAACTACGTTCCGACTATTTGGAGGGACGTAAAAGTTGTTTTCATCCCGAAAGCGGGAAAAAGGGACACAGCCGAGGCTGGATCATACAGGCTTATCAGCTTGACATCATTTCTACTAAAGACTATGGAAAAGGTGTTCGCTTTACATATCAGGGAGAAATATCTCGTTATACATCCAATACATCCCGGCCAACATGCCTATTCATGAGCT